GATCCTGGGCCTAGATTGGGAACAGGAAGCCATTTATTAAGAGAGTCAATACAAGTTTCTGTTGCCTGCCTTGTGAATTTCACTTACCATCTTCTGTGGTCTCCTTCTCACCCTGCAGCCAGAATGCTTTCTCTAAACCAGCTATCATATCATTTTCTTGCTTAAAACTCTTTTCTAATTTCCGATTGCCCTCAAGATCAAGTCCAAACTCCCAACAAATCTTACAAGGTTTTTCATGGTCGAGGCCAGTGATGGCAAAGCTTTTAGAGCTTTCAATGATACAAACAGCCTCCTGCAGCATATGTGCCATGGGTTCTCCACCACTGCTCTAGGCCCTCTTTCTTTCCACATTCTCGCCTTTCCCCATTTCCTGCTCTGGCCCAAACATACCATCTGGGCTATGTTTTCCCTTTAGAGGTATTTATATACCAGTCGCTCTTCTCACCTTGATAACTCTATGCTCTTTTGCTTGACAGATGACGACTGGCCTGTGGTATCAGCTTAAACATCACTTCCTGTCGGAAGTGGGTATACACACCCACGAACCCACACTCTAGCCTCCCCAACAACTCACCACTTCCTGCCATGCCCAAGGAGTCTTCTTAGGCACGGCACTGTGTTCTCTGCCTCATAGTGGCATTTCTCACACTGCACTATAATTGCTTGCTTTTCTGTAGCTTCCTGAAAACAGTGATCTGGTCTCCCTTACCACTGCATTCCTAGAGCCAAGAAAATCATAAGCACTCAAAAAACACAGTAGAAATGAGCTACAGTTACAATTTACAAATTATTTTTAGCTACATCTTTTTAAAAAAAAATTGTGAGATATAAGAGGTAAAAAAGAGTACTTCCATTTGATGGATGGCCCAAGTGAAGACAATTTTCAGGTTAATCATCTAGGTAAATGATGCCATGCCTACCTAATCTTCTGAGGTGTGTGTGTGTGTGTGCGCTGGAGAGGGGTTTTTGTTGTTGCTGTTGTTATTTTGGTTTGGCTTTTTTGAGACAGCATCTTGCTATGTAGTCCAGTCTGACCTTGACAACATAGCCCAGGCTGGCCTCAGACTTGCAGCAATCCTCCTGCCTCAGCTTCCCAAATGCTAGGATTATAAGCATACACCTCTATACCTGGCCTGAGCTCAGTTTTAAATGTTATATTTTTCTCGGAGGTTTTTCTTTAATCTTTATTAAGGGAAATTTTCAAAAGATAAAAAAAATAGAATGTAACAAACTGTCATATATGTACTCTAGTTTCAACAATTATAAACTCATAACCAATCTTGTCTCTTGTATGCTCCACCCATTCTATCATCCAAACTACTACAAAAATTCTAGCTATTATATCATTTCATCTGTAAATGTTTCAGTTAAGTGGTGCTTTACACAAGTCATTCACAGGCATATTCACTTAGTAGTATTTAAAAAATTCATAAATGGGGTCCTTCCATACATCTTAATAATAGAAGCAAGAATAGCTACACTATTTCTTTATTATGTAATATAATATTATATTGCATATTATGCAATCTTTCTTCTGGTACATAATCTAATTATCAACTCAGGGTCATATGGATTAAAACAGGTAAGATTAGTAGAAAGGAGGTCTTAATATCTCACAAACCTGAATGGAAAGAATATGATGCTTACAGTAGTTAATAACTGTCAAATTCCTTTGTTCTCTCAGTCAAGTTTTCAAACCAGTCATGCAGAAGGCCAACAGTCTCACCCTAAGTAGGAGACATGCATGGGTCTCACCTACCAAATGCCACCACAACAGATCTAGCTTGTGCTTCTGCAAAACAAAACAGTGAGCTCCAGACTCAAAGAAAATTTTCTTCCTTAAACATAAATCTTGGGCACAAAATCACCACAAAAATGATGAGAACCAATTTGTACACAATACAACATTACACTCATCAGCTCTTGTGTCAGATTGTTCAATAACATAATGGATCCATAAATCTATGCAATTTTCTGTGGCGCCAATAGCAGGAGGTGAAGATAGCTTCAAATCTTCTAAAAGTATTGTAAAAATTGTTCACAGTCAGTAAAAAAAAAGGCTTGGGGAATTGGATTTTCCCCAGAGGCTTCACATGGAGTAGGTTAAGGCAGCTTCTAGCACATGGTTTCATTTTGCAAACAAATCAGAAATCGGGATGCACACATATTCACATGTACATATACATACATACACATAATGAGTGCATAACTCTGATAAAGTTAATGCCTCATGTCATCAATATCAATGCAATAAATCTTCCTGTTCAACAAAGATGCAATGAACCATAAACTACTGTATTTTCAACCATGCAACTATTATTATTCCACCTAGTCCAGTCCATAGATGCTTGTAACTTCTAAAGACCTGTGTTAATACAGTTTTTAATATTATTCATTTGACAAATACTTAGGAGCACCTGCTTATGTGCCATGCACAGTTCTGAGCACATAGCGTACATCAGTGGGGAGAAGCAAGAAGTCCTAGTAGGGAATAATGGAGGTGATGAGAAGTGGATGGGTAGATGCCAGACCCACCTTGGAAGCAAAGCTGATGGGATGGGGTTTCCTGATGGGTCAGTCAAGTTCAATCCCAGAGTATTTATCCCAAGCAGTGAGAAGGTAATGGTACTGCCTTTAACTGAAATAGGGAAACTATGGGTGGAGGTGGGGATGATGAGGCCTTCACCTTTGGACAAACTGATGTAGAATTAAGATATTCAGGGGTAGACACAAGTAGAAAGTTAAACCGCTCTGGGGGTCGAGTAAAAGGTGTACTAAAGTGTAAATGTGGGAGCACCTGGGCATAGAGCACAAGCCTATAGATCTAGCTTGGCAGACAGAGGCAGAAGGACTGCTTGAGTCTAGGAGTTCAAGACCTATGTGAGGAACACAGAGAGACTCTCACTTCAAAAGTAAACAAACAAGGGCTGGGGATTTAGTTCAGTGGCATAAGTACCTGCCTGGCAAGCACGCAGTCCTGAGTTGGATCCCCAATACCACCAAAAAAAAAAAAAAAAAGAAATCGAAAAGTAAACAAACAAATGACAGTATTATCCTTGACACTGCTATTGGCAGTCAAAGTAAATACAGCAACTTTAAAAGTTATACACATACACACTGTCCTCCTGCACAGAGAAGAAAAGAGAGAGTCATGAGAGAAATAAAAGGAATAAACTATTTGCTGATCAAGTCAATGGTCATATTCATTTCAAACACCTGATTAAAATGGAGAAAAACTCCATCTATTGTTTCTTCCCAATGGTCTTGTTCTTTTGTACAGGCTTACTGGAATTTGAATGTGGCTATCTGAAACAGAAGTGATGTTATAAGCCAGGATACTAACGAGACAATCTTCAGACCATGAAAAACATCATCTATGGATTACTGAAAGTCAAAGGAGAAGTTCATATGAAACAATCTTTAAGTTCTAGGTATTTTCTCCTACTCATCTATAAGGGGATAAAGTAAGTGTCCAAAAAGTTCTCTTTTCAGAATCTGTTTCCAATAAATGATGACACTGGGTGGGCAAATTTGCTGGGGCCAGGGAAGGGTGGAAGTTCTACAGCTGCCGAAAATGATGCAACCTTTAATATTCTATCTCATGAAAAATGAAAAACATTTAAAATCCGCTGATAAACCGGCATTAAAGATTGCCAATATTCCATCCCCCAAACCTGCTGGCACAAATGTCAAAGCAAAATTTCAGCACTAAATCAAATTAACAAACATTCCTTAAGCACAGCACGAGTGTAGCCTATTATAATTTGGAAAATTCCACAGAATGTATCAACTCCTAAGCAAGGCTGTGATGCTTAGAAGTATACCACAGTAGACGTCATCAGCAGCCACAAGCAGGGATGGCTCTGAGTGTGTTGCCATGGCAACCGTGTACTCAGCAGCAACACAATGTCTGCTTCTTGCCAACCCAGAATGAGAGGCAGGAGAAAACAGCCAGCTTCCTGATGGGAACAACCCAGGGAATCACAATACAGGCTGTCTCCATCATTCACACATGCAGGAGACTTCCTTGCAGCAGTCTGAAATCATCTCCACCTAACTCTTAAAGAAAAAAAAATGTACAATTCTTTTTTTCTTCTACTGCAGAATCACAGTCAACATAACCAAGCACAAAACATTACAGAAATGGATGAATTTGGGGGAAGATTGTTGGGGTCTAAAAAGCATCATATGGAGTCATGTGTTTAGCTGGGTTCAGGTACAAGAACTTTGGGGGCGTAGGGAATGGAGTCACCTGAAAAATCATCCTGCGAAATATTCTCTAGAGAGGCACTACAGCTGGACTCTTAAAGGCCCTCCAAAAGCTCATGTGTTAAACTTTTGGGTCCAGGGTTGGTACTACTGGGAACTGGTACAGCCTTTGAGAGGTGGGGGTGTGTGGGAGGGCTTTAGCTCACTGGGGGCATGGTGTTGCAGAAGACCCTTCTCTTTTCCTCTCTCTTTTTGCTCTCTGGCTTGTGAGGTGCATACCCCCGCCCCCAACCATGCACTCCACCGTAACACAAAGCTATGGAGCCAACCAATAATGGATTTATACCTTCAAAACTGTAAGTCAAAATAAAACTTCTCTCTTTGTAAGCTGATTATCTCAGGGAGGGAAGCAAGGCGAAGAGGATAAAAAAGAATTAAGATGTGTTTTGCACATGTACCGACTCCTCCCAAGGAGTGTAATCATTACGCACTGCAAGTATGTACTAATAAAAATAAAAATTTTAAAAATTATCTCAGGCTGTTCACTATAGTAATAGAAAGCAGACTACCACAAGAAGAGATAGGTAAGAAAGAAAGCGATGAAACTAGAGCATGAGCCTTTCAAGGGAAGCATTTCCACAGAGGGAAAGCTAAAAAGGAGAGAGGGCAAACAGCTCGGAGGACACAAAAAACCCCAAGAGAGAAATCAGGAGTCTCTGATACCAAACTCCACAACGTTCTTTTGGATATTTCCCATTATGCTGAAATAAAACAGAAACTGTTGAACATACCTTTTCTACCGGCAGGAAGTCATTTTCTACTTCAATTGACCTTGGTCTTAGTTTGATTGGCTTGTCTTTGAAAATATCTCCAAAGCCCACTCCCTTAACTTTCTTGGGCTGGATGGCTGCCGTTGCCACTGTCCCATTGGCACCTTCAGACTTGGTACTGCTTGAATCACCCCCATCACTCTCGGAGCCTGTGGTCTCCCTTAAGCCTGTCAAAAGGGGGATGGGGAGAGAAAGAGCTCAGAAATCAGCCAGAACCCTGAAGAACTTCACAGCCAGCCAGGAGCCACCTCTAAATGTGTTACTGAGTAGAAGACACCTTACACTGGGCTCTGGTATTTGGTGTGTTCGGAATGTTGAGTTTGGCTAACTCTGAGTTTTATTTGATCTCCTCACCCAGCCTTTAGTTTAAGCAGAGAGTCAAAATAACTTTTCAGAAAAAAATCTAATTTACAGATCTCTGTACATATGATATTTCACCCATCTTCAGCCAGAGTGTAGTTCCAATCCAAAATTTTTGATCATAAACTGTACAATAACAACCCTCCCCTCCATGGTCCTACCTCCCCACCCAGTCAGTACCACATACTGTACCTCCAATCACTCTGACTCTGTCAATTAACAATTAGTATTGAAAGTAACATTTCCTACAGGGAAACTGTAAAGCTAAAAGCAATTTAAACAAATTAGCAATTAAAGAAACCACACACCATTATGACTGCCAAAGAATTAAATCCCTTTGGATGGCTTAACAAGGAATAAATGCATGCAGACATGTTTCTGTAGGAATGCATTAAACCAAACTTGACAGTAAGACGGTTTCACTAGCAAGATGATGGTGGTATTTTTTTTTTTTTTGTCTTTTTTACCGGTACCAGGGATTGAACTCACGACTGCCTGCTTGCAAGGCAGGTGCTTATGCCACTGAGCTAAATCCCCAGCCCCGATGGTGGTATTTTTTAAAGAAGGAATGTCAGCTGCCCTCCCAGAGACCAGAATCTTCCAATTCTATGGCTCTTTTTCCATGCTTTAACATCATTATCTTTCCAAAGTTGAGTTCCTTTTCAAAGAAGAACGGTGGGGAAAGAACACTCTTCCTTTGCTCTCTCTGTTGTGGCACATGTTGGGAGGCATAAAATAATTAACAGTAAGACAATATGGACACTTACCTCCCCAAATTCTTTTATCCCCAGGCTCTGCCCATAATTATATTCCTAAAAGGAAGAGCCTAATTCATATCCAATTAATTTCTAGGTATGCATTCTTCCTTTGATGGCCAGTATATCAATTATGTCGCCAAAGGACAGGATTCCAAGGCTATCTTATGGAATACTAAAGTCTGTCATTATACTATCTCTCCAGCCTCTCGATGTGTGGGACAGTTCCTGACCATTTACTACATATCTCCTGATATAACGATGCTCTTGGAATCGAAGTATGTAATCAAATTTTGTTCTCTTTTAGCCAATCATGCATTATCTTCTTACAGGTCACGTGACCCCTGAGTCTGTAAGAATGACACACCAAATAATTGCTCACATAAAATATCGTAAAATGCTGAAGTCATTCATATTTGAAGCCTCAGTGTAGGAAGGAATTGTTAAATGAAGAGATAAAATATACAAAGGTCTCTACAAATTGCTAACAAATTTCAAAATCAAGTCCTTGACAATGGTTTCCTTTGTTGCTGTTTTCCATACAAGCATATTTCTAAGCCAAAAAGGTGGAGGAGGAGGAAGATCCCTGGGGCACGTTTTAATTAACTAAAGAACAGCATCTGTGAGCAAGAACAGAGGACAGAACAGTGAAGAGCAGCCTACAACGAGGGGGCCAGCTGCAGCTCCCAGGACTAGACTGGAGTGTGCAAGCATAGAAAAGCCCCTAGACTAGCTATCCACCTGTGTTTTTATCTGTTCATTGTTTTTGGAACTATCTCTGCTGCAGATTTAATTTTGGAGTCTAAACGTTGTATCATGTTCCCTTTAACATGTTCTCATTTTGCTGTATGGATTCTTTCTACGCAGTAAGTGGCTCGCATATCTTTTCCTGGTTTGGAAAGAACCATTTGATGAAATAAAAACGACAACAACAATAAAAAGTTAGTGGAAATGAAACTATCACTGCCCTCCTCCCTCCTCCTACCACCACCACCACCACCACCACCACCACCACCACCACCACCGCCACCGCCACCCCCCTTAGCATCACCACCAGAAGGCAGCAGGGCAAATGGATTAAGGGAAGTATGTTTTAGTTCTTTAGAGAAGAGAATTCAAAGGGTTCTTCTGTCATTCTCCATAGCTAGAACCATAATATTTTCAGCCACTACCATCCTAAATTTACTGAGGTTCCAGTTTTAGGGTTTTGCTGCCTTCAGGCTTATCTTAATAACTTTATATTAACCACTGTAAGAAACACTCTACATCATACAGAGAGAAATTACACGGTCATTCAACTACACAGGCATGACCTGGGAAAGAAACACACGGCAGATTTTTCTTCTAGAATTTCTGGCTGCCTGAATCATTTTGATGTGCATTAAACAGCTAAAACCTGCAATAGTGAAAAACTCAAAATTAAGTTCCTTTCCTTTGAAAAGGAAGAAAAGTAACTTCAATTTCCCATCTGCTTAGTGCTGTTTTTATCTACCGAAGCCCAACACACATTAAATATCCTGTAAAATGTTTCCATGTCATCATACCTAGAGGCCACTCGGATGACACTCATTGGCAGTGCAACCCAGAGAGTGGAGGGTGGACTGAAATCAGTTTATGAAGGACTTTTTACAAATACATCATGAGATGAGTGCAAACAATTGTGCGTGTTTGAAAATGACTTTTGCATTTTAGCAGTGTGCACTGGTGTGATCCCAGACATGTGGCCAGTAGATGCATCTAGGTCAACAGAGCACAGGTCAATTCAATCACTGCTAAACTCCCCTGGTGAAGCACAAGCATCACACTGCACATATAATACAGTTAGCAGAAGAACCACGCATCTGTCCATGGTGGAATAGAACACCCAGACAACTTGAGAAGCATGGTTTTGGTATTCATGTCTAAACTTTCTCTTTCATCATGTCTGTGTACATGTATAAGTACACACACTAAGCTGGATGCCCTTCCTTTAAAGTTTAAAAGTGTCCTCAAATTATCTGTGAATTATTTGTGAAATTTATCCTACGCTTCCAGCACTGATCAGAGCCATACTTAATTGTTTTGAATTTAACACACAGGTTAAGTCCTGCTTAGTATTTAGCAGGAACTTTTCTAAGGGCATCGTGGAATTAAGATAGCCATCTCCTACCCCTCGACTTTTGGCAGCCTTATGTCATAACACAAAAGGCTACACATTGGTCCTACGAAAGGAAGTCTGCCGTGTGGTGATTAGCTGAACGAGCAAAGCAAAACATCATTTCTGGCATGGGCTTTCATGCCAAAATCTTATTTCTTTGAACCACGCAATGGCAAAATGGCTTATTGGTTTCCAATGATCCACTCAGAAAAAGCAATAATCATGAGAGGCTGATGTCTCTGCTGAAAGCCATCTCCCACCACCCCGTAAGCCCACAGATACTGGTACAAATACAAGTGTCATGACAAACGCTACTACTCCTTCTGTGCACACATGATTCATGCACGCATGTCACATACATGGTAGAGGCAGGAAGCAAGAAAGCGCCAGGGGCGGGTGGTGGGAAAGCTCTTGTAGCACATACCAAGGAGATGACACTTATCGTAGATGAATAAGTCCATGTCCTTGGATCAGAAATTCACACAAGACATTTGGCATAAGCATGAGCAGCTTAGGAAAGGGCAGCTGCATCAAAAAATACAAGTACCCAGATCTTATCTTTACAATTGCTTCCTGCTGTTAAGGTCACTCACTGTAATAGCGTCTGTGGCCCTCCGTCTTTCCCGGTGCAGCTCGGTACAGAATTGTCCCTTCAAAGGTAGTCTTTCCTGACAGTGAATGAGAGAAGAGAAGGGGAGAGAAAAACAAGAGAGGGGAAAGGGGAAGCAAATGATGGCAAAAGAAGGAAGAGGAAGAGTCTTTAACTGAACTTGCCTTCAATGAATCCGTTGCAAGAGCTTCATCCGCAAAATTAATCAGAGACCATTAGGTAGAATTTAAGAATGTTAGAGAATGAGCCCAAAGTCCCCATGCAGCCGCGGTGGCAAAGAGCACCCAGGATTGGGATTTATCTCTGCAAATGACTGGCACGTATATTATGCCAAGTTAAAACTGGAAGCCATTTCAATACTGTAACTGAAGAATAGGAAAACCTCAATTAACCATAGGCAATCCAACTCATTGAACTCTTTGCTAATTCAATTATGCAGCACCATCTTCTCTTTGGAAAGCATGACCTAAATATAATATAGGTGTAGGCCCGTGATCCTTTACCTGCTACCCCAGTCCCCATGTGATAGACACTAATATTCAAGCCCCAAGACTCTAAACAAGACACAGAATTCTCTTTAAAAGGTTTGTAGGGCTGGGGTCATAGCTCAGTGGTAACACCCTTGCCTAGCATACATGAGGCCCTGGGGTAGATTCCCAGCACCATAAAAATAAATAAATAACAGATTTGTCATCCACAGTACCTTTAAGCTAGAAAATATATTACTATAATAGAAGGGACGTTTCACCAATGAGATTTGAAAGCAGTAGTGGCATCCATATCAATGTAAGTTTCTGCTTAGCCCTGAGGATACCAGAAAACCCTACATTTCTTGAAATATCTTAATTGAGGTTTTGCCTATCAGTCATGAGACCGTACTTAAGCATGAGGACATAGGACTCATCCAACGTGAACTGTCAATTTTTGTTACGAGCAGTTATCAATATCGTAAGACTGAACACACAGCTAAAGCCCAAATATCTCTTAAACTACAAGTAAGTATACAGAATATGCATATACTGCCCCAATTTGAGTTTAATACCCACCTTCCCACCAACAAACAAACACACACAGGCCATACAGAAAGTACCACTAGCAGATAAAAGGATTTGCTAAAGGTAAATGCAATGAATAAATGTATTACTAGAGAATTAAATTCTACTGTGGCTTGTGAATTAAACACTCAAACTGCAGGCCAGTCATACAGATTTGTAATAGTGGAAAGGTAGGCTATATTTACAAAGAATGAAATGGAGAGAGGAGAGTTTGTTGTCTCCAAACAAAAATGGGAAACCCAAGCAAGGTATAGTGGTACATGCCTGTAATTCCAGACCACTTGGGAGGCTTAGGTGGAGGATACCAAATTTGAGCCTACCCTGGAAAATTTAGGGGCTTGGTGAGACATAAAAGATAATTTAAAATCTGAGGATGTAGATCCATACAAAGGCCCTAAGTTCAATTCACAGTACCATCAAAAGTGGGGTGGGGAGATGGAAATCCTAGTGTCAGCCTCAACCTTGACACTTCTAATACAGGAAGAGAATAGTGAATGATCAGACTAGCAATTTAAATGGAGTCAGACATTTCCAATTTCTGTGTCACACAGCTATCCATGGTGGTATACCCTTAACTTGAAGTCTCCCCTTCTTGACAGATGTGCTGCAACCAGTTAAAGCAAAAAGGCAGGCACTCAAATCACTGGCTATCTAGAGAAACAACAGTGTTTTAAATGTTGTTAGACTTACAGTTCTTGAAAACCCTGGTGTCAAAAGCATAGCAAGACCATAACATTAAGAGAAATACATCAGACATACAAACTTAAATATCACATGGTTTCTCTCATATGGGAAAACCAAAATACAAAGAGGAAAATAAAAGTAACAGGAAGTATGAAGACACAGCTTTCTCAAATGGAGAGGGGATCAAGATATGGAGGGAGGGAGGGGACATGTAAGAGATTAAAGAAAAAGAATTAAAATGTATTATGTACACCTCCCCACAATGAATGGTAATCATTATTGGCTGCAAACGTGGACTAATATTTTTTTAAAAGCAGAGGAACTTAATTTTGGTTAATTTTTATTTGAGTAAATTTCACTCTACTTAACTTCAGTAATCAGGTCAACATTACACCTAAAGAACATACCCTTTTTGTGAGCCAAACCCTCTAAAATCTAACAGCAGAAGTCCTCTCCATGTCATAAAAAGTAAGTGCAGAGGAAAAATAAATTATTTTGGAAATGTTCCTCCAAGTACCATAGAACTTTCATGTGTTCTTCCACAGGACTAAGTCTGAGAGTCCCTAGGGTAGACCACAGCTCTGATTGTCTGAATTGTTAAGCCTATCTACAAGGTCTCCCCGTCCACTGGCAGCAAAGCTATCTGAATGGTAGCCTAGGCTGGCTGAGGACACACAGGCTTTCTATCTGAATAGCAAGAGACAGACAAATGAAATGATCATTCTGAAGATGAGTGATGTTTATCTTATTGGATAAATACTTTGCAGTCACTATTAAGCAGTATTAGTACATGATGCCAGCAAACAGGATTGGAGCGAAATTTAAAAATTCAAACACAAGATCATGTGCTGTGCCAGCATCTAACTTTTCCTGAAACTGTTTTATCAGTTTGCTGATTGATCTTCACTGCTGATAGAAAATTCACTGATCACAAAGCAAATGTCATTAAATACTAAAAAGAAAAATGTCTGGTGACTTCAGAATGGAATTTCTTAACCTGGCTTTTGTTTTCATAGGCAAGGGCCACTGAGAAATACTGATAAAACAGTATTTTGGTACATAGTAGTAGTTTGCCACATATTTTAAAAAATCACCTCCATCTTTGTCTTAGCTTGACATGTCACTACCATTGCAGAACCTAAACATTTTAATGTAAGTAATTAGGGAAATGAGAAATTAAACTCAAACTGAAAACCCATGATTATTAATGGTTACAGAAATAAAATGTAAATTTTCTCCCTCTGGCGACTATGGGAAATGAAAACATTCCTGTAGCTATGTGATTTTTTAAAACATAGAAATATTTTTTTAATTTTACAACAATTATTTGACATTAAGTAATATCAAAACCATGCTGAAAATAGAAAACATATTTATATCTTAACTGTGAGGTAAAATATCTTGAAATTGAGCAAGGTTCATATCTGGATTTCTTTGACACTAAGACCAAATAAATCTTTTAGGCATAGGATAGGCTGTGATTATAACATTCAATGATTATCTCTACTTTGCATTAGTTAGTAGTAGCATGTACACAATTATGAATGAAAAAGCAATTAATTAATCGTGATCTGTGATCATAAAAAATAAGCTCGACTTTAGCCAGGGTTGAAATTTGTCAGTTACTCGGTGACAGATGATCTGTTTATGTTACAGAGGCAACATCACAGTGTATGTGGGAAAGCTGTGGGTTGTTTTGACCTCCTCATTCATAAGCCAGGCCACATTGGTGACTTAATTATATTGAGCCTTAGTGTTGTCATGGCAAAAGTTTGACCTCTAAATTCCTTTCTACCCCTAACATCTTAAGATTCTGCCTATACTACTGACACAAACACATTTTGGTTTTTAAAAGCCTGATTTACTAAACTTTTTTTGTGGGGGTGACTATTGATCTGATATGTGCCTATTTCATTTTTTTCTTAATCTTGGATCATGCCACTTTGTAAGCCCTGAGTGAGCAGGTTCAGGTGACAATCACCAATGGACACTAACACTTAAAAGGAAATATAGCCAGACATTATAAATGCCAGGTGGACCATCCATCACTACCTAGGAAGACTTGCAAAGACATGTATGAATGTGTATGTGTGTATATATTTTTGTGTATCTATGACTTAACCCATTCAAGTCTCTGGACCCAATGATGAACTCATAGGAATACACTTTAAATGACACAATAGAGATCAAATCAGCATAGGCCACACTGTAAGAAACCAATGAATAAAGGAAATGAGTTTCTTCAGAAAATAACTGCACGGAAAAAAAAGACATAAGAAGGAGAATGCTGGGGCCAGGGATTTAGCTCAGCAGCACAAGTACCAGCGGGGCAAGTGCAAAATTATGAGTGCCAAGCTCATACAAAAAAAAAATAAGGAAAGCTATAGATTCAAAGAAAGCTGAGCCAACTCAACTAATCATAATGTATATACCTTATTTGGATCCAGATTCACACTAACAAATTGCATCCCAAAAGAAAAGATTATTAGGGGGAAGTGAACACTGACCATATATTTAATTATTTTAAGGAATTGCCACAATTTTGTGTGCAGGGGACAATGGCATTTTAAGGTACCTTTTCATTGACACATTGAAATATTTATACATGTAATTGCATAACATGGAATTTCCTACAAGATAACATAGAAGAGGAATGCATAAGGCTAAAATTTTAAGAAACTGCCCATAGGGTAGGGATAGCAAATCTTTTAGAAATAAGTGCCTAAACTAAAAAAAAATCACTTCCTCCATCAATGGTTTTTGAACTGCCATAGGGCAATAACTGCTAAAGCTGGATGATCAGTACATATGGCTTCATTCATTAGTTCGTTCTTTCTTTCTGTCTTTTTTCTTTTCTTTGAGACAGGGTCTCATGTATTTTAGGCAAGCCTTCAACTCATGGTGATCCTCCTGGCTCAGCTTCCTGAGTGCTGAGACTACCGGGGTACACCACTACACCTGGCTATTGTATTATTCTTACTTCTGCATGTTAGAAATGTTCTAGAATAAAAACTTTTTAAAAATGTTTTTGAAAAATTATTTTAAGGTTTTGTAACTTCTGTGAGTTGTAAAGATGTTTTTGAATTTTAATATGCATCAAAATATTTCTGTATAACTATCAGTTTTCTTCTTTAAGGAAAAATGTTTAAAAGTATCAACCAATCTAATTATTGAAATTCTTTCCTTGATAGATTGGATTACCCTGAGCAAAGGTCTAAGAAGGTTTAGAAGTTTTCACAAACAACTTCTATAAGTAAAAATATTTCAGAGTAAGAAAAAAAACAAGTTTCAGAAATTTTAACCTGTCATTCAAAGATTAAAATGTCTCTTTAGAGTAATAAAGAATTAAGCATTTATTAAATATCTATTATGTGACAATCAGTCATGGCACTTTTCTTTATAAAATAATGTCAATATTTTTATGAAACTAATCCATTAGTATACAAAATTCAATGATTACCTCAAATACTTTTCTGAAGTAAAAATGTGAAGTGTACAAATACCAAACAAGCACGCATATGTACAGAAGTAGGGGTGTGTGTGTATCTGTGTGTGGAACAAAGATATTCACAAGGACTCACTGTATTCAAGATTCTCTTCACACTAGGATATGATTTTACCTGTCTTAAAAAAAAAACAAACTCATTCTACTGTATGGTAGCATTTAAATTAAAAGATGTTTATATGATGTCATTTGTGATTTCTAAAATCTACCAATATGGTACAAATATTAGAATTTAACTTACCCCTAAAATTACATGTTAACTAAACATTCTCTGGAAAATCTAACTGCACTTCACAAAGAATATTAAGTGGTGTGGTCTAACAAAAACTGAGTAAATTTTAACTGATACCAGAGAAAGGCTAGAAATCTTGAACATTAACTATGTTTTGTACTTTTCAGCTTTAAGACAAAATTAAGTATGTATTTACTATAATTATGAGATGTTATCACTAGGAGAAGCTAAGAAAAATGTACGTGGGCCATCCCTTTACAGTTCTGTTTATTTTTACAACTTCCTATTGATCTATAATTTTGAAACAAACATTTTTAAAGTACATTGGAATTATTAAAACTATTCTCCAGCAGTAAAGATTAAGCAGATTCATTCTAAAACCAAGGGTTCCACTTAGACACATCCTACCAGTATACATAATTTTTGAAGGTGATCTGATTATATAAACTTTAACATAATCAGATGCTAAAGCAAATCCACAGAGCAAATGACTACTGAAAAATGTTGTCCAAAAACTGAAAAATGCTACTTCTCTCTTTCAAAGGACCACTTCCACTTGGCAGGGACATTATTCTCAAACCTGGTCTTCTTCAAGTCCTTTGTGACCACTTCTACTCCCATATAGGAATGAGACTGGACTCTTGTCTTTGTACTTACCCTTCCTCAAATGAAAGCACCAGGGACACTTTCCTGAACTACTGGGAATTTGTGTGAACCCTTTCTTTAAGGTGAGCTTACTGATGGGAAATGTCCTGCCTGATTTGACCCTGTATCTTCAGGACCTTGGATAATGTCTCAGTAAAAACATGGACTCAGTGAAGGCTGAGTGAATGAAAAACTAGGAGGAGGAAAGAAGGCAGATAAGGAAAAAAGTCAGATGAATGGATATAGACAAATGGAGCAACGGGTCCCTCTTTTCCTCAGCTATACATACAGGAAGATTACAAAAGTCATCTTTATCAGAAGTAGCCATCATTAGACGACCATGCCTTGCCAAGGACCTCAAACTTTCAACAATGGACAGACTACAATGGCTTCGGGAACTACTGGGCCCTTTTGTCCTGAAATGGATGTTAATGAATGAGTGCTGGAGGCATATGAAGGAAAGCCAGAAGATGGGAAGACCATTCCCCTCAGCCTCCTAACCCCTCCTGCACCAAGAATTCCAACTACATGCTTTGAGCTGAGAGGTCAGGCAGAGTCAGCTGCCTATATTATTAGCTTGCAATGGTTGGGCAACAGTTTGTTTCAGGATTCCTAAAACCACAGGAAGCATTCACCTTGGCCTTTTAACCTGAGAGCATAGCTAATATGACAGGATCCCAAAAGGTCAAGGCTCTCCCAGTGAGGTTATCCAATCTTTCTCCACATTTTTTCTCTGTACCAGTAGAGGAATCTCAAAGCAATTTTCCGACACAGACATGCTTCCATGGCCACAGATCAATGAGTGAGCAAACAGCATCCAAGTAGTTGAACACTAACTTGTTATGTCCCAACAGTTTAACCTGAGAGTTTTTCTTAACAATGACAACAGTCATTTATTAAGGACCTTGTATGGTTGTTTATATACATTATTGCCATTGGAATTCATAATGCGTTTCCTCATGAAAACAAAGTTATAATGATTTGATTTGGGTCTCCATCCAAAAGAGCACATTTAATTTAATCCACAATGTCCTTGAGGTATAGCATTGTTATTATGAGACTTAATTATAAAGTATAACACTACTCCAGAGCACAAAAGAAGACTACAGGGCCATGAGACTTCTAATGTGTATTCAGGGAGTACTAGCAATTTTCAGGACCATTCTTCTTAGTTGGCCAAGTTAGTGGAAAAACCTCTTGCCCCAAGTCAGAATGCAGCAGGAGATCCAAAATCCCTTCCCAGGCCTTCCTATTATTTACTCCCTAGTAGAATGGAGCTCAAGGTAGGAAGATTCTAGGATTTGGCAGTATAGGGAAAGGTACTGCTTAAGTCAACGAGGCAACCAGCCAGTGCAGCTATTCCTATGTATGTAAGGCTGTATTATCCAGAGCAACTGAGATACCAAGAAAAGGACCTTGCCTGAGTACTTCCCTGAAAAAGGCTTTACTTTCAAATTGGGCATTTGTTCAATTATGCTACTGGTTAAACAAAAGAGACACCAAACCAACATAAGAACATCACTCAAGTCAAATTTTTCCAAATGGAAAAGGAAGACATTTAAGAACTATCTTGGCAAGACTGAACTGTCTTCCTCTTAAAAACATCAGGTACTGCCACACCACTATGACAGAGTTGAGCCTCTTGCAACATTCACACCCAAGACCTTGGCTCAACACAGCACAAGATAAACACAGACGCCCACGTAAGAAGTTGGGTTAGCGACTGGGAGAACAAAGCTTCCCGGTCCTGACCTTTTGCTCCGTGAGCTGGGAAGGGCAGCAGAGAAACTGGAGGGAGACCTTCAGGCCCTGGGGAAAGAAAGACCTGAAGTTCGTTCTCACCATCACAGAAGAAAATGCATGCTCTCTCAAGGTGGGGTCTGGACCCTCAGTTGTCTTGTCATACTGTTAAGGGAAGTGGCATGAGCACTTATCTTTTGCACATTTCTCATCACCAACATGTTTTTTTTTTCTTTTTGTTGTTGTATTTCTCCAAGTTCCTTAAGGGATGCTAAGAAATAGTAACAGTCTCATTGGTTCATTTAAAAATGAATTATGAACTTACAGTAAATGACATTCCAGAAGTATATGGAGGAACAGCTGATGGGCTACCAATAAGGGTTGAGGGCTAGAAGTTATCTATCCAGACATGTACAAAATGTGTGGCTACAGGTCACACCTTTAGAATGGTAAACTTACCAAATCACAACGGGTTAAGGTAGTATGGCCAACAAAATACCGTGAGCTTTTGTCACAGCATCTCAGCATATGACATAGTACAGAAGGAAGGGTGGAGCAGAGACCAGTGGTCTTCCCCCTCCCTTTCCAGTTCAGTGGGGTGGCTTTCCTTACTTGACTTGGACAGCTGTTCATCCTGGGAAATTCCAAGCTCATCTGACTCCCCTGATAGCTCCTTGATGAAGTTGGATGGAAACATTCCAGTTTTCCCATTGAGAACACCTTCCCACCATCCTTCCTCTACCTGCATGGATGCAAAGAGAAGAGAGACACAGGGTCAGATTAGACATGGCTGTTCCCAGTTTTGCCTTCCATTTGTATGGTGTGGAGTAACCAGAATGCAGGCCACATACTCTTCAGATTCTAACTAAGGATGGGTCCTGGAATCAACAAACATAAATAAGACAAAAATTAATACTTCATTTTTATTAGATTCTAACTGAAATTCAGCATTTCCTTTGATTATGAATGTGTAACTAATATGGACCAAGGTCAGAAGGACTTGTAATAACACCAAACAATAGGTATTTTCATTTCACATCATAGATACTATGGGTATCTCAGAATATCCATTGTTGTTACCTTTACTTTTTGTTTTTGTTACTGGGAATTGAACTCAGGACCTTGCACTTGCCAGGCAGACACTTTTGCCACTGAGCTATATTCTCAGCCCAATGTTTACCACTGGTGACATAAATCATTACATCTACTTGGAGACTTTTGTTATTTAATGTATTAGTAAGAAAACATAGATTACTAATTCAAAATTTGCTTTTAAATTAGATAATTAATTCCATATAAATGGTTCCCTTTTAACCCTTCACTTTATGCATTTAAAATTATTAATTAAAAACTGAGAGTAGTTTTTCCAGACTGCCAAAACTGAACAGTTTAACAAAAACAGTTAAGAACCCATGGTATAAGAAGACTTCAATCAGAATGAGAGGGATTTTCTAATTTCTAAATGACCCTAGAATGAATGGGATGGGACGAAAAAAGATGTAGAAGGAATTAGCTGAGACAAGTGACAAAAGGGTTTTTAAAAGGTTCCAATATTTTGTGATAGAGTCACTAATCAAACAGCAGAAGCTAGAATAGCAAGTTGGCTTCCTGGAAAAAAATACGGCCATTTTAAGAACATATTAAATTACCAATGTCATATGGAATAACAGGCCCAGACCTTTATGATTTTTTTCTTGCTATGTGCATATATTACCAGCCCATATAAATACAATTTAAGAGCTAAAAAGAATTCTAACAGACAAAAAAGATTAAAGTCAAAAGCCTTGCTCAAATATTACCTAAAATTCAGCCCAACTTTTCCCACCTGTACAAAGAGGATATATAACACATGCCATAGTTGTCATATTTAGGTACAACCTTGATCCATGCTACAGGTACAGATTTTGCATTACTCTACTCTAGGGCATAGAGATACAGAACTATGCATGACACACGTTTAATTCTTTTGAAGAAGGTAACAATCTACCGAGATAGAAAGCTGTGACTAAAAAATCTGGCAAATCAAGATAAACAGACTTAGCATAAACCAAACTTATCACACAAAATAGAGCTCATTAAGATCTGGGATGCTAAAGGAAGACTTTCAGAAAGGAGAAATAGAAAGCAAGGTAGATTTTTAGGAAAGCTATGATTAGGAGAGGGGACATGTAAGCCATTCCAGAAAGGAAGGAACTCAGGAAGCCTGTGGAATGGAGAAAATCAGAGGAACGTGCTTAGAGCATTTGTTAGGGTGCTCATAGGACAGACAGAGTGGCAATTACATTTCCATGAACACAAAATCTTCAGGAAAGAATGCAGACAACAGCGTCCATGCATGATTGTTTCAATGACTATTCAATACTAATTCATGGGACTTTACAGCATTTCCACTGAAATCATTCCGTATTTCTATGCCAACTCAACTAATACGTATTATTCTTTCAAGGAGATTTTTACATGATTAAGATGGTTAGGAAGATTCACTAAGAGGCTGAATATCACTAGTCACAGGATTTGTAGCATGGGGTCCTTTATGCTACTGCTGAATAAGAAACCTCAAAATGCCATCCTTCCTCACAGGCATCACAGGGCAGGAGGGGGAAACCAAGGGCATGAACCACAAATGAGTGATATGTGCTATAATCATTCTGTGCAGGGCAGCAGGGCAAATTCCATGCCGTTCAGTGTGAAGATGTCTAAAATGTTCCTGTTCCCAGTAATAAGCAGCTCCAGCCCCAAATCCCTCATGGAATTGCTCCTGATATGTAGGCTCAGCAGGCTGCCTGCTGGGAAAACAAGGGTATCTTCACCTCACCACACCCTGAATGCCTGTATCACTGTCACAGCACAGCCTGAGAGGAATGGCCTATGGGAAAACGACAAAGGTCTATCATTAGCCACACAGTAAATAGAGAGGCAGACAATAAAACCACTGTTCACTTCCTGGGGGCACACTGGGCACAACAAGGCTTGTTTCTCTGTGAGCTCAGCCCTTTGTGAGGAGCAATGAGAGTTTTCATGTATTATTTCTTCCTACAGCCGCTGCTTTGGTCTCGAGACTGAGCCTGGAGATATAAAAAAAATGATCCTCACAACTACATTATCTTTCTTCAGAGATATACTAGATCGACTCCTTGCATAAGGACAAAGACACTAAAGCCCAAGTGATGACATTCTTTCATTCATTAATTCCAAGAGTAAAGCATAGTGCTTCACAATGAATGAATGAATGAATGAATGAATGAATGAATGAATGAATGGAAAATCACAGAAGAAATTCTCTACAGGGTCCTATTAAACCTTGATTCCCCCACAAAAGGATATTCTCTTCTTGTGAGGAGCAGAAAGGACCAAAAGAGCAGCCTAACTGCATTAGCCACTGGTCTTAATTAGGTCCTTCCACACCCATACCTGTGTGGGCCTCCCAGTGCCACCAACGCCACCTGTGTTTAATCTACCTTGTACTGCACCTCAGTACTTTGGAGCAGATTCAATGTGAACAGAACAAATAAGGAGCCATCCTCTAGCAGCTTCTATAACAAAAGCAAGGAATCTGCAGAACCTGTATGCTTCCTGCTTAGAAATCAAGCTAGCTTATGTTGATGTTTCCTCAATTAAAGAGAGAAAATGCAGCCCTTTGTAATGAAGTAGGGATGCTGAATGCCACCAAGGGCTTATAATTTCTGTCTCAAGGAAAGTAATACAAGGAAGCAAGCATCTACCTTCTCCCTAACTCCTCCACCCCCATTCCTCAACAGACTTCTACAGGCCCTCTGTGACCGACCTGGCCAGTTCTGTGGTCCATGTCTGCCCCCAAGAGTAAAGTCTGCCTTTGGTCCAGACCCAGAATCAGAGAAGCTTTCACCTGGTTGTGTCTGAGAAAGGCCAAATAAAATCATTCATACAGTTTGTATTCCAGGGCCAACCAATTCCCACGCCTTTATAGTCAACAGCATCTAAGTGGATTCTGAGCAAGGAAGTGGTTTCTAGATCTCAGCCCTGTTGGAAATTGAAAAAACAACTTCCACCACCACCATCACCCCAGACCCCACTGTGCAAACATTATCTACATTTTTGAAAGTAGAAAAGAGATTGTCTAGAAATCAAAAGACGATGTGCTTTCCTGTGTCCAGCTATTTAGAGCAGCTCCTATTTATCATCCCTGAAATGTCTTACCTATAAACTACACTGAGAAGAAAGCAAGGGGTTTACCAAACCTAAAATCTACCTGAGGGGTCAAGGAGCCAGACAGAAAACTCTATTACTTTGCTGCTACAACATTTTTCATTCAATGACCATTTTCCTTCCAAACTCCAGTTTGCTATTGACCTGGGTTGTAGGCAAGCAAGGGGGAGGGAGAGGCACACAGGCTGGTGAAGTGAACTTTATTACTCCAAGAGTGGCTTTATCAATCTTTCCATAAACGAAACTTCACATATCAAATGCTAAGGCCCACACCATAACATTCCTAAAATTCACCTTCCTCAAAATTTCCTGGAAATAATTAAATGCAAATTTCAGTATTAGTTGCTTCTCCTACCATCAAAAGGCAGTGGAAGGTATTTGGAAATTTTTCTAAATACTAGAAAAATATTCAGATGGTTTAAAAAATCTGATGTAAAAATACACAAATGCACAGATCTTAATGGTACAGTTGGTCAGTTTTGATAAATATCCGTTGGAACTCATACTTTTATCAATGTGTGGTTCCATCACTCCTAAAATTACCTTGTATCCCTCCTCAGTCAATCCACCTCTAAACAATCACTAATCTGATTTCAAGCACCTTTGATTGGTTTCATCTTTTGTAGGATTGCATTAAAATATAGTAAGACATAGGTTAATATCTGAAACATTGCTGAAAAGTGTACATTTTTTTCCCTGGAAAACAGTCTTTTATCAGGGGAATTAGTGGAAACATACATCTTTAAGGGGGCCACTTCTTGAAGGCATAAATACCTGTATTAGTTTCCATTATAATTTGTTTAAATAACTATCCCTATTGGTTTTAGGATATGGAAAGCTGGTTGTGACAAACATAAGAGTATTATGTGGGCCAATAATTTCCTCCCAATTTCTACACAGTTCATTTTTTTCTTTCTGGGCCAGAACATTCTGTACACACAGGAGTGTCAATTTTTATCCCCCTCCCCCAGTTCGAGAACAAGAGTATTCTATAAGGGAGAAGACCTTCAAAAGAGAAATCTGTGATAGGGAAATGATTTAAGAAAACATATAATTTATATGAATGTCTTAAAAAAAAACTGCACCATCTATAATTTTGAGAGTGGAAAGTGTGTCTGATAAGACTGATGGAGCCATCCTTTACCAGTGAGCTTGACAGTTCTATCTTTAAAAATAGCCACAGGCTATTTCACAGTCCCTAAATTCTTAAGTGACTCTATGTGACATTCCAATTTGAAAATATTAACAAAGATGGAATCAAGCCAGCAAGATGACCTTCTGATGAATCAAGAGCTTCAGGTTTTGTCCTATCACTATTCTCAGGTTAAAAAAATTCATATGGGAATGTGTGAACACCCAGGGAAGGACTTCAATGAGGTGTCCCTTTGCAAGTTCAGCATGAGCGGCATTACATTCTTTTTCTCAGCTTCATGTCACAGCATCCAACAGCATCTGCTTTCCATACTCCACACTTGTCCAAACATTTGCAGGCCACCCCCTACCTCTGAGCAAGGCTATACTACTACTGTCTTCCTCCCTCCAGAGTAGCCCAATGTT